GGGGGCTCTTGCTCAGGCTGGTCTTGAACTCATGAACTCAAGCAGTCCACCAGTCTCAGCCTCTCAGAGTGCTAGGATTATAGGGGTGACCACTCCGCCAGACAACACATTCTAGACATCCACCACAAGAAGTCCTGACTTGGAAATTCTTGGCTGTTACCCTGGAATTTACATGTTTGATAATACACTAGGGTGGTCTTTCTTTCCTTCTCTGACTTTCAGTACAGTTGCTGGCCAGAGAGGTCTTTGGGATTCAGACTTCCTGGACCCTCTCCCAAGACCTTGCTTTTCTCTTTAGGATGACCAGCTCCTGGATGATGGCAAGACACTGGGCGAATGTGGCTTCACCAGCCAAACAGCACGGCCACAGGCCCCTGCCACAGTAGGGCTGGCCTTCAGGGCAGGTGAGAGGGACCTGGACTGGGTGACAGCTAAGCAAGGTTGGAATAGCCAAAGAAGAAGGTCTTCAGGGAATCAGTGGTTGCTCCTTCAAGCCTACGGGACAAGGTCTTTCCAGTACACAAAGGGCAGACAGTATCCTTGACAGTATGTGTTTATTTCCCCATGAAAAAAGAGATAAGGAAACATGCTTTTGGAAACTGAAGCCTCCTTCCCAGAGAATATGAAGATCCCTAATTATGATACCAGCTCACATTTACTGATAGCTTATTGAGCTCCTGGCCTTGTACTCTGCACATTACTTCCATTGTCCCATCTCATCCTCTAAGTGGTCCTGGGAGGTCTGCTGTATTGTCCCATTTTCTAGTCAGAGACACTGAGGCTTGCTGGCAATTACATGGAGAGCCACAGTTGAGATGCTGGCTGCTGGCCCCCAGGCCCTTTCTTTGTAGTACTTCACTAATCCCCCAGCACCTCTGTGTGGCTAACACTTAGATTGTGTCAGTTTTAAGGATGAATAAAGTCAGCCTGGGAATGTTAGGTCACTTATTAGATCCTCCAAATCTAGAATTCGGATCTAGAGACTGCTGTCATTAAGCACATTCTACCCCTGCCCAAGCTTCAGAAACCCAGAAGATGGAGACATGTCTCCCTTCCCCCAAGAAAAAGGGAGGAGAGACTTTTAAGTTTTATTCTTTGTCTCTAGGAACTTAAACAGAAGTTACAGAGTTATGTGGACCCAGAGACAGAGTGAATGGCTGGGGAAGCTTGGATAAAGTTAGAAATTATTTTTCTGCCTTGTTAAAAAGTATGGCAAGGCTCGGCGCCTGTGACTCAAGTGGCTAAAGCAGAGGTCCTCAAACTTTTTAAACAGGGGGCCAGTTCACTGTCCCTCAGACTGTTAGAGGGCCGGACTGCGGGCCCGGAATGAGTCGGCTGCTAAGCAGGACAGGCAGTAGTGGCAAAAACACCCAGCGGGCGGGATAAATGTCCTAGGTGGGCTGCATGTGGCCCACAGGCCGTAGTTTGAGGACGCCTGGCTAAGGTGTCAGCCACATACACCTGAGCTGTCGGGTTTGAATCCAGCCCAGGCCTGCCAAACAATGACAGCTGCAACCAAAAAATAGCCAGGCATTGTGGCAGGTGCCTGTAGTCCTAGCTACTT